TGCTCGTTCTCCTTCTGAAATCATCTATGAGGTTCTTGCTCTCCGCGAACTCTCAGCAGTCATGAGGGCCAGGTTGTGTGCTATCTCAAGAAACCACGTTTTGTAACACAAGTGTCAGCTCTGCACATGTGTACTCCCCTCTCTCCTGTTTTTCTCAGGAATGACTCAGTTTTCTGCAAAAGTTGTTCTGTAAATCCTGGACTAAAACCTTTGTCCGACACCCCATCTAGTGTTCAGCACAGACAAATGCAGAGGACCGGGGCATCAAGGAAACAAGAGTTGAAAATTCCCAGCATTTTTTCAGCGGTATTAAACCACCTTTGTAAAACTATCATTTGAGTTCTCTCCAAGAGAGCTCTGACAGAGTCCAGGCAACATGGAAACCTGCATATGCCACTGCCAATTCCTTCCTCTGGCCTCTGTGCAGCCTTCGGGTGTCCCAACAGAGAGATCCCAGCTGGAAAGCCCAGCGAGCCCTGCTCCTCAGGTGTTAGCTCCTGGGCAGTCAACCCCGGGGCTTTGAGGACAGCCCCCTGTACGTAAGTCATCTGGGCAAACTACCTTGGAATAACGAGCCAAGGGTCTAAGCTGTGCCCACCTCAAGACTCGATGGCAGCTGACAGCGAGGACGAGGATGCTCTCAAACCAGGGAACAACAGGGCTTGCCGGGTCCTTGGCAGTCGGCAGCACAGGGCACTCATTTCAAGAGAGATGTCAAATCTTGAGCAGGTATTTTGAATACTAAATAATGCTGCCTAGTTTTTTTCCAATGAGATTTTTAAAAGAAAATGAGAATTGCTTAAAAGAGCTTTTCACATTTTTTTCATTTAAAAAAAAATAAACTGTTTGCTGAGAAAATAAAAGCTGTTTCAGTGTCTGTCCTTCCCCTTTATGAACAAACTTTTTTGGTGGTGGGAGGATCATGAAGTTGTCGGGACAAAATATCTGCTCTGAGAACTTGGTTTTAATAAAGCAGCTTTCTGACATGTTCACTCCTGTGAGTCGCAGAGCTCCAGCCATTGCTACAGAAATCTTTGGGTTCTGTGATGCCAGGTGCACAACCCACTCTGAACTAAGCCCAAACCAAGCATCGCTATGTTCTTGGTTAATCACCAGACCAATTAGCACCTTGGTTAAGATGCAGTGAGGTTCCAGTCCCGCTCCCCTCAGAGCTGGGATTGTTCTGATGAAACTCTCACTCTACCCATGTGGCAATACGCTGTTCACAACCCTTTCAGTTCTCAAGTAGTGTGATAAGTCTGTTAACTCATTAACACCTCCGGCTTCCAGGAGACTTGGCTTCCATCCTCTTGAACAGCCTCAGGCCCCATGCTCCAGGAAGTTATTCTGCAGTTTCTTCTGCTGAGCCAGGCTGGCTTTCAGTTCCCACCATGAAGCTTCCGAATGCTGCTGTATTCTTTATCTTTGTGCCCACTTTGACGCCAGCTTTGGACCCCCTCAGCATTTCAGTCTTCATGGGGAGTGCCGCTGTCACTTGGCAGCTCCTCTCCCCTCACTACTGGCTCAAGTGCAGTCTCCCAGAGTGCTGCAATATGAAGGACAAGCTGAACTTCGCAGGTAAGACAGTGGCAAGGACACCTTGAGCCAAGTTGTCAGTGGGACCAGCTGATGGTCCTTCCCAGGGTGGTGAGGGCTTCTTTTTAATGCCAGCCTCCTTTGGGGTGGTTGTGGAAAGATAAGACTTACAGCCCACGGTGACTCTAAAAGGCAAAGGCTGTACTAACGTAATATTGCTTTCTTTCCTAACAGCAATGCAGGCGGAGTTAAGATAACAGAGGTTACTGGAGAAGGCTGAAGGGAAGACATTCCTGTGAAGGAGCCCCAGTCTCTGCTCTCAGCGGAAATTTTCAGCAACAGAAAGAGTGAGTACCTCTGGGCTGAGGGCTCAGTCCCAGGACTGCTGATGTCTTCTGCAAAATGATCCATGAAGCGCACAGCAACACACTGGCCCCGCAGCACTCTGATAGTAAAGCTCCCTCTTCCCTCTTCCAGGCGGTTTCTTTCACAGTTAACTGATCCAGAAGAACCTGATTGCCTATTTCAACCCTTTCCTTCCTCTCAAATGTAAACATGTGAGGGAGCGTGTCCGGGAGGAACTGCGCATACAAGGGCATCCCGAGGATGAAGACCTCATCACAGAGATTGCCTTGGCAATGACTGAGTGCCCCAGTGAAGAAAGACTCTACTCCAGCAAAGGTTGCAAGACTGTAGGCTCCAGAGTGACTCTGAGCATGAGGCATTATCAGGCTGAACGCCTCATCTTCTGGTTACACCACCACAGCAGATGGAAGAACCAGTAACTCCCTTTCCCCTCCCGGCAGCTCAGTCTACACACTGTTCCTTGAAGGGATTCAGGCTTTCCCGTACCAGAGGCACCTTCTGTAGAGCCCTTGAATAAACACACAGGACACGGCAACAATCATGGTACAGAGTAAGCAGAAGGGGGATACATGGGGGCGATGAGGTTTGCTCTCCTTGCCACAGAAACGCTCCTTAACGGTAGTGTTTTGAACAGGAAAATCTCCCACTTTTGTGGCAAGAGTGTTTGCACCTGAAGTCCTAGTATTGCCCTAATTAATAAAATCTATTAATAAACAACATTCTCAGTAATAATATTGGTCTGTTTTGTACTGGCTGTCACCTGCACATCTCACAGAACTCACACCAGAGATCAGCACTACTGTTCCTGCTTTACAGGTGTGGAAACCCAAGCACAAAGGATGAGTTTTCCAGATCGTCCAGTGGTCAGCAGCAGTGTCCTGGGTCAGCAGCCCACCCGCGCGGCACCGCCGCCTCACGCCGATGTGGTTACCCCATTCTGGCCAAGCCACCCGCGTTGGGGAATGCCGTGTGCCAGCGCTGCTGATCGTTTAATGAAAAGGAGGCAGAAAGCCCTCCTAATCTCCACATCACGTCC